CTTGTACTCAACCCACTTAACCCATGTATGTTATTACTTGCCTTTTCTCTGCAGGTGAGTGATCAAGTGACTTCAGCTGTGCTCTATTAACTCTCAACCTTCATCTGAAACAGTAGCATAGAGCCATGTTATCTCAATCATCCCTCTCTCCCTGTGCTCCCAAACATCTGCAGTGCGTGTCAACAGCACAGAAAATCACCAAATGGCTGCCTGCACTCAGCCCTGGAGCAAGCTTCCCAATAACCCAATGGAAAGGAGAAAGGCAGCTCCTGAAATGTGCATGGACGAATGGGTCATGCACCCATTACCAGGAACACCACCTCCAGGAGAGTGGCCATTTTATGCTTTTCAGTTCAGTTCAGTCACTCAGTAGTGTCCGACTCTTTGCGACCCCATGGACTGCAGCATGGCAGGCTTCCCTGTCCATCACCAACTCCCGGAACTTGCTCAAATTCAGGTCCATCAAGTTGGTGATGCCATCCAACCATCTCATCCTCTGTTGTCCCCTTCTCCTCCTGCTTCAATCTTGCCCAACATCAATCAGGGTCTTTTCCAATGAGTCAGTTCTCCACATCAAGTGGCCAAAATATTGGAACTTCAGCTTCAGCATCAGCCCTTCCAATGAATGTTCAGGAGCAATTTCCTTTAGGATGGACTGGTTTGATCTCGTGCAGTCCAAAGGACTCTCAAGAGTTTTCTCCAACACCACAGTTCAAAAGCATTTACATTTTTAAAGAAAACATTATTCCTCCTTGAAGGAAGACTACCATCTAGTTGACTACCTTTTAGAAGAGTTCAGAGCATCCTGTTAATGAAACCAGCAATAAATAGAAAAACTATCTTATTTGCTAGACTGGAATAAAAATAAGAGATTTTGGACAATGACTTGGGTCAAATAAATGTTAAGAGTCCTACTAGCTAAAAAAACCTATGATTCCTAAAACTCATACTAGTAATAGTAGCCAACACTTACTAAATGCGTTCTATAGGCCAGACACTGTGTAAGCACTTTAGGTGGTTTATCTCACATGTAATAACACTACAGAATAGGTATTAAGATTATCCTTAGTTATAACTGAATCACTTTGCTGTATACTTGAAACTAACTCAACATTGTAAATTAACTGTACTTCCAAAAAACAATACTTTTTAATTTATTAAAAAAGATTATCCTCAGATATACAGAAGAAACTCGGGCACAGAGAGGTTAAGTAACTTGCCCAAAGTCACACATCTAGTGATGATAGGGCCAGAATTTAAATCCAGACAGTCTAACTCCAGAGATGCTAGAGAAGAAACGATGACAGTGCCACCAAGATCTGACAGTTGATTTCCCACAGGGATTTCTCTCCCCTGCCCATTGACTGATGTGGCTGCATTTCTGGCCAAGCCCACCAAGAACACACAGCACAGAGGTTCAGACTCTCATTTCCCTGGTTTACAAATCTGTGAAAATTAAACTAAAAATATTCTCCCACATTATGTGATTCTTTAAAATATAAAACAATTAAAAAGGAAAGTTTTCTTGGAACTGAA